TGCCTGCTTTGAGGACATTGTGCATTTCCTTTCTATCCTGCTGTCCATGTGACTATTTTTATCTTAGTACACCACGGTGGTGGTGATGAGTTTGTTTTGCTCAATGGAAAACGAGCAGAGACCTTGTGCACTTGAGAAACTATGGCTTCCACTGCTTGCCTGATGTGACAGAATCTCATCCTACATCTGTCCAGCTCTGATCTTCAAAGTTTGCGCTCTTCACAGTCCCCCAGGATTCAAGAAGGATTCTGTGATCTTCCATGTGATTATGGAAAAGTTGTAAGCTCAGTTTGAACAGTTTGCTTTTTTAAATACAGGTGTGGGGGTTTTTTTTGTTGGTTTTTTTTTTTCTTTTTTTGAGAAAGAATCATGGTGTCCTTGAAAAGAGAAGATAATGTAATTAAAAAGTTACATTAGATACATTTGAATGGGAATGAACTTTTCACAAAAGGATCTGTGGTTAGATTTCAATTAGTCAAACATGTAAGTGGGACCAATGTCTCTTATACTACATCTCTTATCTTTTAATATGGGATTAAGGGAAGTGGCAAACATGATTGATCACAGGGATTCTGAGAGACTGAGATCGTAAAATTCTTTTATTCATGAGGAATGATTTTAGAACTTAATTCCTGGAAGGAGGAAATGGGCTAAATTAGGATTTGTAAAACAGAAATATGCAAGGAAAGAATAAAGTGCCTCAGCACTGTGTAATAGAATCTGCCATCCTTTGCATGTAGAAGGCGCAGATGGTAAATCTAAGAAAATACCGTGGAAAATCAATCAGTCTGAAAAATATCAAGTTTGATTCTGATGCTTTATATACCCTCCAATACTTTGAAAAATTATTCTAAAAAAGAAATTAATCCTGGGAACTGAATGCAAATACTGTTCTTAACTGGTAATAACACTTCCACACTTGGAATATCATGAGCCATTACATTGATGAAGTACGTGTTGGAACCTCTCTTATTGTAGCACAGCATATTGTAACTGCAACATTTATCTGAATTGTGTTGGACATTTTCTCTTTTCTTGGAAATGTTACCCTTTGAGGCAACAGGTTTTAGTCTTGTGTTTGCTGTATTTCCTTTTTCCCCTTTCAAAAAGATCTAGCTCTCTCATGAAAATATTTTCATCCTTTAATCTTTGACAAGGTACCAGAAAATATTTGGAATGTTCATAGACTGTGTAATACTAACCAGCTGTCTTTTTTCCTAACATATCTTTTAAAATGAGATAGCATGAACAAGGATCTTAAAATAAAGTACTGTAGTGATTTTTTTTTTTTATTTTTATCATAAGATATCTTTTCCCTGGAGGTGTTCAAAAAACGTTTAGATGTGGCGCTTCAAGACATGGTTTAGTGGGTTTAGTGGGCATGGTGACATTGGGTATACAGTTGGACTTGATGATCTTTGAGATCTTTTCCAACCATAATGATTCTATGATCTTTTCAAGATAATGATAATTTAAATGTGGGCCACACAAAAGATCATCTTACGATCATTTTGTCAATTAAGACTTCCCAAAACTTTTAAATCATGTTAGATTTTTATTTAAATGCCAGGAAATAATCTAATTACCAAAATCAGGTGTAGGTATAAATTTATATTTGAATATGCAGAAGATCAAAGTCAAGTTTAAACTGGTAAATATATGTGATTCTTTTGGTTTGGAACTTCCCATTACAAGTGAGAATCAAATATCTTTTTCCCACTGCAAAGTCTTCTGTCATTTGAGTTCTATCAGAGAGAAATGGAACTTGCTATTGATATCGCAACTGAATTAGTGGGGGGCGGGGGGGGGGGAGCGCGTGCTATCGGTGAACTTCCAGTCTGGGACGATAGAAGTTAATAAATAGTGAGTTCAGGTTTTCAACCTACATAACAATTCTTCTTATCCTTTATATAAATTACACTTGCACCGCACAAGTGGTGCAAATACAGTAAAAAAACCCCCTATATTAACTTCTTGTTTTGATGAGTATTTTTTTCAGTGAAATACATCTGCCCATTTGTTTTGCAAAGAACAAGAATCTTGAATAGTGATCTGTTTCTATATATATTGTGTCAAAAAACTGTATTAGCAACTAAAGCTTAACAGGTTCCCAAATTCTGTATGTACTTTGTGTTTAACACCATATTGACACTTTGGATGGATAGATTAATGGTCAAAACAAAGCAATGGCAGAGTGTAGGTCTGCTTTCTAAAACTGGCAAGGGAATGTGAGTTTTGTATTAAATCAGGAAGAAAAAAAAAAAGACAAACCACCAACCCAAAGCAGAACCGTAGCCCAGTTGATTTTAACAGTAATTTGACCATATTATCCTTAATATTAATACTTAAGAACAATTAACTTTCCTTTTAAATTTTCTTTTTGAATTCCCACAATAGATCTCCATTCCTTGTCCCATTGCAATATATACTGCGATACCTGCTCTCCTGGCATTATTTTAAACTGCTAGGCTTTGAGAATAAACCAGTTTTTGTAGCACAGACTGAATGTTTTTGTATTTATCTTCTCCCTAGATTTGCTTCAAGATAATTCACAATAGTCATTAATTCAAAGACTTGTCTATAAAAAAACTGCGACTAGTTTCAGTTTTTAAATTTGTTCAACTTACAATTAATCTTGAACTTTGCAATTATACTGTGTTACTGGATTGAAAATGGCAACTTTGAGCAAGTACTGTATTAAATTATCGCATTATTTCTGTAGTGCTATCTTACAGGAGTCAAATTTAGTCAATTAAAGAGGTTTAGATGCCTGTTTTAAGCTTGCCTTTACGTACTATGCTAATCCTTTACTAACATGTTTCATACTGTTGATTAGCAATGCTTTTTACCAAGAGGAGGAGCTTATTTGTCCCTGAAATTAATTCTGAATGCTTCAATTTCTAAAATATATTGTCAACATTAAAGTGTCAAAGTTAGCTCAGATAACTAAATAGTTATCTCTCACAAAATATCAAAATAATTTTTCTTTTTCATGGTTTTTATTATTCAAAATAATTTTTCTTTTTCGTGGTTTTTATTATTCAGAGACTTTATGAAGTGAAAGAAGAAACATCTGTCTACATCTGATTCAAAACATGTTTTTATTTTCATGTTTTTTCTTCCCTTTTCTTGCCTTCCCTGAATACCTCTAAAGGCTTGCAGAGTAGTTTCTGGGTAGAAGGTGGTTTTTCTCTAAATCTCCAAATGCATTTTTCTTAAATGAATGTTTCAGATGCATGATGTCTAAAAAAATTATACAAGACAGTTTTTATTTAGAAAGATCTCTCAACAATTTCTATATAACTTGCTTAATTACCAATTCATTTTTAGAATTGCACCCTTAAGCCTGTATAATTTTACATTTCTTAACCTGAAATTATTATGATTGCTCATGTGTATACATTATTCCTTCACTTGCAGAGACATGCACTCCTGAAACCTCGTAAATTCCCCCCAGAGTTGAAGTATGTGGATTACAGTGTAGAAGTGAGCGCGCGAGAATTCTTTGAGGTTCCAGAGAAGTTCTCTATTCCATTACTGGCATCAAGCAGAGTTAACTCGAAAGTTCCATCAACAAAAGACCTTTCACGTCAGAAAACAGGTAAGAATAGTCTTAAATATGATGATGACTTTTTTTTTGTCCTGAGATGATCTGAATCCAGTTAGGGAAAACCTTAAAAATACAGAAAATTATCTTCCTCTCCATTCTACTATTGATCAAATCCTCAACCTTGTCTATGTCATCACTACCCAGGTTGTATCTTACTAGTTCAAAACAGTGCTTTCCACTTGCCCTTGGTTTTCTCAAAGACACACAGCCACTGGAGACGTGCTCTAAAAAGAGAAATTTGTTTGGTTTGTTTATCTGACAGATCCTGAATTTGTGCTCATTTCTGACTTCCACTTCTCATCCAGCACTGATCTATGCTCAAATTGTGCCAGTTATACTATGTATCTTTTCTTCTTTGCCTCTCTGCAGTCAGCCAGAGGGAAGTATCAACTCATCGTATGCTGTTTTGCCCCTGTTACTTATCAGTGAAAAGTTGTGCATTAGCCTTCAGAGTGATCTTGTCAGCTTTGGTCAGTCTGTTGCCTCTAATTTTTTGAGTATCATAAATTTTATACTGAAATCTTACTTGCTTTCATTTTTGCTTGGCTTTCATTTTCATCTCTTCTTTGCTAGTTGATTTTTTTTTTTAATGCTTTATTTAACCTATAAAGCATTCTAGGTTTCGTTTCTTAAAAAAACTTAAGTGACTGAGGAAACTGATGTTGTTTAGTCTGGAGAAAAGGAGGCTGAGGGGAGACCTGATTGCTCTCTACAATGACCTGAAAGGAGGATGTAGACAGGTGGAAGTCGGTCTCTTCTCTCAGATAACAAGCGATAGAACAAGAGGAAATGGCCTCCAGTTGCACCAGGGGGGTTTTAGATTGGATATTAGGGAAAATTTTTTCACTGAAAGGGTTGTCAAGCATTGGAAGAGGCTGCCCAGGAAAGTGGTTGAGTCACCAAGATGAAAAGATGTGTAGATGTGGCACGTAGGGACATGGTTTAGTGGTGGACTTGGCAGTGCTAGGTTAATGGTTGGACTCGATGATCTTAAGGGTCTTTTTCCAACCTAAATGAGTCTATGATGAAATATGTGTTTATATTTACCTGCTAGGTTATCTGTGCATGGTTATATCACAGCTAACGCAATGTCCCACAGGTATCTGATAACAACACAATTTTTGGTTTTGCTACTTAAAATGTAAGTAGTACTTTTCTTAGCAAATATAGTAAAGGCTTGAATTATAGTCTGTCCACCAAAGAAAAAAGATTTGTTTCATCTCTTCTTTTCTTGATCTATAGAGTCCTTCTACATGTTTCTGCAGTTCACTTCTCCAAGTGGAATCAGTCATGTGCTTTCATGGTGTATGTTTGTTTTCATACTTGATGTATCCCTTGTGTTGTTTCTTTTCTGGAATAAAAATAATGAATTTCTTGATTATTTCTGACAAGTCTTTTTGTTACTGTAATCTGAGTTGAATGAATCTGTATCTGTACTGTAAAACATTTTAGGGTGTCACTAGGCATGTTTTTAGGAAGGTGACAATAGTTATTGCAGTATTAGAAGCAAGAGTAGCCTGAGTCACTACAGGACTAACAGTCAGTAGAAGTTGTAGAATAGATCGAAAGAATAAGTGCCTATGTTTGTAATAACTGATGTAGAGGTGAACTAAAAAAAGTCATAATGGCTTTGCTGAGTGGTGTAGGGGATTCTTTGGACTGCACTGTAGAAGAGGGGAAGACCAGCTGGGAGAGAGAGCAAAATCTGTACACACAAATCTGATAAGGACATAATAAGATCTCCATTGTCATCTCACAAAAAGGTGGTTCACTGACCAGATGGCAGGTCACTGTTGCTTAGCAACTTCTCCGATTATGTTTAAACTTGAAATGTGAATGAACGTATCTGAAAATTTTAGAATATTAATTGCTACATTAAACTGTACATGAACTGTACTGTAAATGTGCATGAAACTACATCACAGTAAGGAAGTGGTTATTTTACTGTTAGTTCATGCTGCTGCTTTATCCATCAAAGGAAATTATAAAAGCATCTGAAAGAGGGAAGTATGCAATGGGAAGTCAGAAACTAAATCATACTGCAGTGAACACAATCTTTTTGGTATTTATTTTTTTCTTTCTAGGACACTTAAATAGTTACATGAGGGAGTAGAAATATCAAGACGATGCAGAAAACTAAATGGGGCTTTGGTAACGAATTCAGAGAGGTGGTGAGCTAAAGAACAGCTAAAAGGGGAAGCTGAGGTAACCAGCTGATAGCATGAAAACAGACAAAGATGTGTTTAGTACAAAGACAGTGCTGGCGGATTCAGTGTATTTATCATGCTAATGAGGAAACATAGGAATATTTACAGACTCTTAGAAACACCTAATATTGTGACAGAAATCCCCAGTGTGTTCCTGTGGATGCAGGCAAAACATTTAGTCTCATCTGAAAATTTTAAGTTCATTATCTGAAGATGAAGCAGTATTTTAGCTATGGTGGTAGCTTTCCTTAGGCTGGGAGTAGCTGCTTCTCAGGAGGAATGACAGAGTACTTAGATTTATGAAGAAAAAGGTGGAAGTAAGCTAACGAAAATCAATCCTTGGATCAGAATTTCTTAGACTGCAGTAGCAGGAAAAGTGTCCAGCCAGTATTTTAAGAACTCTGCCAACAGGGAATTAGAAGGTAAAACTCAATGCCACTCCACACATTTTCTTGTAAAATAGATATTGTTAAATAACATTATTACATTTTGGGAAACATTGCAGACCTAATGGTTGTTTATCTAATGTTGATCTGATCTCAGTATTTTTTTTATGTAGACTAAATGATAGTCTATAGTTAGAAATATGTGATGTTATGTTTTCATTGCCATACTCTCCAATAAATAAAATGCAGAACAACTAAAAATCAAGAAGTAAATTTTAAATCGTTATTTGGCATGCATCATTCTTACTGTTAGAGGTGAAAAATACTTTTCAATGTTTTCCTTTTGTGTTTTGCATAGTTACACCAGATAGCTAGGAAAAGAATATTTACCTCCACTGTATCATCTATAGATGGACTTCATCACATTAGTAATAATTTCTAATCACTATATGTATTTTCTTGATAATGATATGCTATGTTTTAAAATTTGCATTAATATTTTTTCATGAGCTGTGGTCAACCTTAACTCCTTCTTTCTATGACTTTTAACTGTTATCTCATATACTTGCTCAGCATTGGGTTTAATCAGTGCAATCTTTTTTTATCCTTTATTTATTTATTTATCTCTCCAAAGCAATTTCCTGGGGCTTTAAATCTATTCTTCAATAAAGCATTATCAGTAATTCTGTTGTTTCTTCCTAGTATTCCACAGTCCACATGCTGTATAAATTTTTCTCCATTTAGTTTTTTTTTTCCTGAATAAAGTCTTCATCTTTTAAAGCAAAATTACGTAGTCACTGTCCGATAACAAAGATTTTGTTATCTTTCATTCATTTTGATGTTTTATTCTAGATCCTTATCATGTTAACTTCGAGTTTAGTTCTACAATTTAACTGACAGTATAGTAATAAAAATTTAATTACATTTGGTGGTCTTAATCATCCAGGATAGTAAGGCACAAACGGGATAAAAAAGTGTAAGTGGTAGCATTCCTTTTTACTCTTTCTTCATACAAAGGGTTTAGTTAAAATATGAATCTGTTTCAAAATGTGGCTCTGAAAAATGATGATATAGGTCTGTATCTTAATAGTTTTCATTCCAGTTATATCTATTGAATAGCTGTTTCTACTATCTATGTATTAGTAGAAAATTTTGGTCTTGCAAAAGTGAGAGGGATTTAAATATTAGACTGGATGCATTTCTTTTGTGTTTAATACCTGCAGTAATGAATGCAGTGGAGAATAGTTGCATTTGGTTTTTTGTATCGTGAAAAACTTTTGGAAGGCCTCTCATGCTGGTGTGTGAATAGGCTTACTGCTGTGGTGAAGAAGGATGTTAATCCTCAGAAAACACATCAAGGTATCCTTTACCTCATTCTCTGGTCAGAATTGAGATTCAGAACATTCACTGAAACCTGGAGTCTGCCTAGAAGAAGAACATGTGGATAGACAGCAAAGGCTTCAAGCTTACTTGACAAAGGAAGCCTTTTAGGGACCAGGATGCTCATACGTGGTTTAGATTTTCAACAGTGATCTCTGACATCTGCTTGCATGACTGTCAGTGTCAAGACTTATCTTCGTCTTTGGTGCAGTTGTGAGACCGTTGCATTTGTGAGGCTTAGAAGATACTGCTTCTCTGAAGCCAGTAATAGATCTGGTGTTGGCAGTGCCCGTTTCTCATCATCAGTGGATCTGGGAGGAAGATACTGACTTCCTTTCACTGTATTTATTTTATTAATTTTATTTTATTTTTTATTATGTGTGTATTTGGACTTGTCCCGTGCTGTGGCTGGAAGAATGATGTGTTGTCCCAGTGTCACTCCCTGTCTTCCTTCTAAAGGTGGAAACACAAGAAACGTTGAATAGAGAGGTTTTATGGCTCAGAGTTGTAACTCAATAAGTTTCCATCTGCTTTCACATATTCTGTGCGCCTTTAGAATAAAACAATAAATAAAAATTTAGTACATTTTAGTGTTATTTTGTAAAGATATGTTTTAAAAAGTTTTAATTTAGTTGTCGGTGTCACTGGCTGTGTAATGCATATATATGTTTATAATCTTGATAATTATTATTTTTTACAGTTTTCGCTAAAGATTTTGTACCATGCGGTCTTATTTTATAGAACCGTATCTATATAAAAGAACATGCTTTTCATGCAAGTAAGGAGCATGTTTGAGAAGTCAGAGCTATTATATTATCTTTGTTTAACAGAGTTTATAAGCAGTTTATCTGCTGTATATTTGCTGCTCCTGTCTAGCAGTGCAACACCAATTACGGTGGGGAAAGAAGGAAATGGCTATGTGCACCTAAACAAGTATGTCCTGATAGACACTTAACTGTATTTTGTAAGCATGTACATTTTTGAACTTTTCTAAGGCAAGCATGCACCTAGAATGCTTTCAGTCATGCCATATGGTTTAGTTTCTTTCCTAGTTTATAAAGATAGACATAAAACAACCTAGGCAGGGAAATAAAAATTGATCATAATACTTCAAGTATTCAACTGATCTATTCTTCAATGTATTTTTTAATGCATAAGAAATGAATATTTTAACAAAAGTAATGCCAAGCTAAATATTATAAATATGGAATAGGATGGGTAGGAGGACTCTTGTTTTTATTTTTAAATTTTTCTGTATGAGGCTTTTCTGTTTCAAAGTGTGCATTTCAAATATGGGTCCAACTCGATGAAAGATAGTCCTAATTATTAGTAATTATAACTCTCATTTAGTGCAAGAAACTAAAACTCATGCAGAAATATTTTGGAGTTTCCAGTACACTATATTATCTATCTTCAAATATGAAGAAATTTCTTCAAAAACATCTACTTTATCTTAACATGTGAGTATTTAAAATGCACACTTTAAATTCTAAGTAAATATTTTGCTTCAGCATCCTAAAATAATTCTTGTAGACAGAGAAAATTAGGGACTGTACTAATGAGTGGATGAATGGAAAGGACAGTTTCATTCCTTGCATAACTGACAAACTCAGGTCACTTTTGTGGAAGATAGCCCACGGGGATAATAACTTAGTGACAAAACAGAAAAAAAGTAATAATTCAAAAATTACCAGGCTATTAATCTTGTCTTTAAAAGAGTACAAACTAATTTATTTCTGAGAGGGTTAAACCTGAGGTGCAATTTCTAATCTTTTTGATAGCCCAGTAATGTTGAAAGATTAATAATGTCATTCTGTATGATTCATCTCTTGAACTTGAGCTATTTTTGTGGAAAAAAAAAACAAACCTGAAGTAGGGATGACATAAGGCAACAAGAAAGCTTCAGTTTTGGAGTTCATTTTCAGAGAGGTGAGAACTGAATACATGAGGAGCACCACTTTGTGGAATAGAATGCGCAGCATTGCAAATGAAGATTGATTGCACTTTCAAAATTCAGTAGTCATTGAAGTACTCTACTATCTAATTGAAGACACTAGAATAGTTTGGGTCCAGTTGTCATACATATCATCAGAAAAAAAAGCCAAATTAAGGAAGAAGGGAAAATCCACAAGAATTTGTCAAGTGTTCACCCTCAGGGAGAAGCAATTTATTTGGAGTTTTATCTGTAAGGTTCTGTTGTGTCGTTACATTGTCTCTGATCTTCCTCATTATCTTTTCCAACTTTACGCTTTGGTTTCTAACATTGGAAAATAGTGAAAAGAAACAGTCTTTGTTAATATAAAACTATAGTGAAGTTTTTGCAGCTGCAGTCTTCATGTAGTTTTTCAGGTTTCTTAGAGACTCTAGGGAGAGTTGGACTGGGGAACTCTTTTTACGGCCGATCATTGGAGTTCCTCATGTGCCTTCCCTTCTCCTTTGGAAAGTGTCCTACAAGGGCTAGTGAAGGGCTTAAAATACTGTGAAATAGTCTGGTCCTCTCTGTAAGCAAGAGCAGAGGAGGAAGCCTTTGCGGCAGACTTGGTAGACCTGGCTTTGTCCAAAGATGACAGCATTTGTATTACTTCTTCCTGGCTCTAGAGATTACTGTGGGGAACTTTTCCTCCATACTGTGGATTGGGCAAATGGGACTTTTCATGATTCTATTCCAACTTGGACGCCCCTGAAACTCAGGCTTTCAATCCAAAATTTAGCATAGGAAAAGACTAATGAGTAGCTCTCATGAGAACTACTGAACTTAACAGAATTCCAGTCACTGTTGTGGCTATTATTAGCCAAATATACTGTATTGTCTCTGATATCTCATGGTGACTGTTGACAAAAGTATAGTAACTACTGTACTTTTCTGATATTTACAGAAATGTGTATACATTAAACTTTTCTACCAGATTTAATAGATCTTTTAAAATACTTGTCTTCCTGCACTACTAAAAAGAATAGAAAATATTATTTAGATGCTTAAACATATGGTTTTTTAGGAAAATAAAAATGTGGCTGTGCTTACATGATAACAGTCCTAAAATTCTATTGTTTATTTTAAATTGTTACACATGCTGCAGGGGAGACTTTCCTACAGTTTATTGGAACTCTCTCCAGATTACGCTTGTGAATTCAATGTTTCTGAAAAACTTTAGAGCACCGCAATTTTTTGGTTTTCTTTTTAGACAGAAGTGATGCAGCTGAACTTCCTATAAAATTCATTCCTCGACATCCTGGTTGCTACCACTGTCAGATTCTTCTGAAGTCCTCCTGTGATGTTCGTGTCTATGAGATTGAATGTGTAGTGAATGAAGACCATGTTGAAGCAGAGATTGAATTTCTAACTCCAGTTTACCGGACAGTGATTCAGGATATTCCAATTGTGAGTTCAATCTACTTCTAGAAACTAAACTAAGATTCAGGATTTTAAAAACCCGGACTCTGGATCAATACTGTTAAAATTTATGGTTGTAAAATGCACAAATGCATGTAAATACTGACTTGAGTATTATTACTCAATGTCCATATTGGACATAGTATGAAGCTTGTTGGGAAAAATAGTTTCTGGCAGTTCTTAAAGTAAATTTTTAATTTTATGAGTTTATTTTGAATGTTTCACTTCTGACCTGACAATTTTTGGTCTGTTATTTAATAATGTTATCACTCTGAAAGTGAAAAAAAGGAGTTATTTAATCTAGGTAATAAATGTATTGTTTCTGGAAAAAAAAAGGAGAGATGTTGAGGAGTAAAATAGAAGAATCAGATTGCATACAGTTTAAAAAATATGGCAAGCATAGGCAGTATATTATATATAGTTTTTCATATCTATTTTGTACGTAAAACCCTTAACACAGGAGAAGTAAAACCAGGGAGTGAAGACGGAGTGTAGGTTGGAATATTGTCTCCCTCAGAAAATGATTGCTCAAGTTTTAGAGAACTTTCCCAATTTAAAAGAAAAAAAAAATGAAAAAATTATAGGGAAGGAGCTTAAGCTGTGAGAGAAAGGGTAAAGATTCTTTGAGAGAAAAATGGTAAAATCTTTCCTGAGATTTGAACTGCAGCTTGGTCTATGTACTTGATGTAACCTTTTGATATTAGAGCCACTGAAGAATACTAGTGAGTTAATTTATAGAAAAGTTATTCTGAGATTTTGTAGACAAAAGACTGGGGCAGATTGAAACAAGCAGACTTAATGTCTGGGGAAAGACCATACTGTGGATGCTCTGTGAAATACTGAAAGTAGACAAGGAACTGGTTCATTAAAAAGAGGGGGGAAAAAAAAAAAAGAAAAAAAAATGAAAGGAGGTAATTTTACAGTGCTATCTTTTCTTACACATAAATTTCAAGATACTCATATATTATGTATTTAATATTACATTAACTGAAAAACAGCTGTTCTATGACGCAGAAAGGTAAGGGATTTTTCCCACCTTGTTTAAACAGGGAGTTTCTAAACAGGTTGGCTTTATTTTGATTTTTTTGACAAGGCATGTGTGGCTCTTGAGTGCCTGTTTATTTTCTTCTTCAGATAGATGCTAACTTTTTTTGCAGACTGCATGTTTGGTCATCTCATTCCTTCAAACAGTAGGAGGCTGAATGGCATTGTTTTAATTTTACTATTTTTATGCAGCCCCCAAGCATGTGTTACAAAATATCTGGTTTTCTACCGTAATCAAGCAGTTTTGTGATACAACTGGATGCAAGACAAACATCTTTCTTAAACAGGCTTTCATACTACTCAGGACAGGCATTCTTTAAAATAGATCAGTCTTTTGAAAAACCAGTTTCTGAGAACACAGGACTGTAAATACTCCTTTGGAGTCAGAGTCCTTAATTTGTAAGCAAGACTGATCCTGTAACATAGTCAGTGGCCAAATGAGGCGATATATAGTAGTACACCACATCAGCACTTCAATGAGATACACTAAGATTTTCTATAGATAGAAAAGGGGGAGAATCTTGGCAAGCATTTTACAGTACCATAAGGATATTTGTGAAATTTTATAATGATATTTATAAATTCCATCTTGACCATTAGCTATATCATGTACATATTCTTC